TGTGATCACTGTGCACACCAAACATGGTGCACCAGTCCGAGAGAGTCATATGATCTTTCGCATTCGGATTTGGATGCAAAGGAACTGGAATGTGTCTTTGCTCTATACTTACAGGAAAGGAAATTCATATGTTGACTGGCTTGCAAACCATATTCTAGACATCAAAGAAGAGTGTGATAGTCAGATTTGGTGAGAGCCCCCCGGAACCAATCTTCTGCTTCTTACTGATTCAACATCGGTGAGGAGGCCTAGAGCCTTAGTTTGTAGTAGTTATCTCTTTTGTTTTTCGTTTGCTTTTGTTTGGTTTAGGCCTTTAATTTATAAAAAAAATAGATATATTTTGAAGCAATCCAAATATCTTATTGTAATATTGGAAAATGATAGTTGAACTTGAATGAGCTTAACATTGACCAATTCCTGCATGTTCAAAATGACTTTTATAACATTCTAAAAAAAAAAATTTATTTTGTCAACTTAATTAGTTTCTTTTCTTAATTTGAATTTCCATTACTTTTAGTTTCTCTGTCCATGTTAATTTAACACAATGAATTGAATTTTTAATGTGGTATTATAATACTCCAATATTGAAGGTTGGTATTTGAATATTATAAAATAAATTTTAAATGATTAAGTATTACGATCACATATTTATATATTGACCTAACTTGTATATTTTAAAGTAGGGAAAGCATGCTCTCCTATGAGAGGAAGCAAAAAAAAATTCCTACAAATAGATTGTTTTTCGTACCAACCAATTTTATTTTTGTAAGGTGTGGAACCAAACTTGATTTGTTTTTATTTTTTTCTCTCATTTTGTCTTGCGGCATAAGAAAATATGTACCCTTTAAAGCATAATGCATAAATATCATAGGTGGTATATTGTACAATATTTGAATGCAGAATCCTGATTCATGATGTTTGAATATTAATAATTCTCGTTGAATTATTTGATGACTAGCTTTCTATAACAAATAAAAAGTCTCATGCTATGTGTACCAATTCGTATACATTCTGATACAAGGCGTGAACTTGTATATGGGATTCAAAGTGATTATCTGTTATTCATTCAATCAAAGTGTCGAATATAGTACCTCTAACACTCTTGTTTCGAGCCGGTTTGTTAACTTAAAGCACTGAGTAATTTAATTCTTAAGTGGAAGACTTAACAAATAATTCACCATTACTTTTTTTTTTTTTTGGTGAAGATAATTCACCATTACTTAAATAATTAGATGACTTAACTTTTTCTTTATATTTATCTTTACGTATTTTCGTGCATAATTTATTTTTTCTATGTAACATAATCTATACAGTCACATACCTGCATAGAATTCATACTTAATAAACCTGTGACCATATTTAATGATCAAATCATTATCCAAATGTGATAACAGATACCATTTCGAATAGAGTCTTTACGAACAACATAACAACTATAAATTGAACTAATCCAGGGATCAAATCCCAATCTCTTACATAACACCTGATAAACAGAAAAGTCTAATATATATATATATATATATATAGGAGGGTTCTTTTGACTTCAGAGTAAGACTTTTAAGTCTCACTCCTCATCTTAGCCGTTGATGGACGGAAATCAATAGTCGTCATTTGTAATGTAATTAATAATTAATTAATTAATATAACTTCCTAAACTATAACCGTTGGATGGATGGAAATCAAGGGCTGAGATGAGGAGTAAGACTTATAAATCTTACTCTGGAGTCAAATGATCTCTCTACACACACACACACACACACATATATATATATATATATATATATATATATATATATATACACACATATCAGAATATGGCTCCGTGCCACTACTGATATCAACCTACTTAGCAACATACACGCGTACACATAATTTTGTTATCTGTATATAATTATCTATAGGCTACATACGTCTCTCAAAATGGAAATCCATACTATACATATGCATGAATGTAAAATATCACGCCCTACCAAACATATACATATATAGTGATGTTCCAAAATGCTACACTAGCTATCTGCTCTAGCTAGTATCTCTAGCCATCCTGAACTTGTCTCTTGCCATGTGAGGCTCTCCTGCTACTTTAGTACCTGAAAAGTAAGTCCCCAGATGAGGTGAGATTAACCATCTCAGTAAACCTAAGGTTTATGGAGTAGTCTTCACCCATGAGTTCACTTCATGCATAAATGTCAGATAATATAGCATAGAATACATCATATATTTCATACCCATACATATTTCATACACATACATACTCCTAGGCTATACTCCAGGCGCTGTATCCCGCAAAGAGATCGTAACTTGTACCTATACTTATACCCATACTTCTAGGGGCTATATCCGGCAGAGGAGATCATAACTTATATCTATACTTATATTCTCAGGGTTGTATCCCACAAAGGAGATCATAACATATATCCATACTTATACTCCCAGGGGCTATATCCCACAAAGGAGATCTTAACATAAACATATACTCCTAGGGGCTATATTTTGCAAAAGAATCCACACATGTACTCTCCAAAACCTATACGTACTATAATATAACATATTCTCTTATAACCTAATATATAGCAACATATCATATTACTCCATATTATTTCCTATCATTTCATAACATCATATAACATAACATAAGACTCTCAAAGCGTAATTTCTCACTTTGACCAGTCTATAAACTCCCAAAGCATAATTTCTCACTTTGACCAGTCCATACATAATCTCTGAAAACGTAAGTCTTAAACTGAGTGTTCATTGATCAAGAACCATATGTCATACATACATATCGTATCGTATCATATCATATGCATGAGCTACATGAATGCAGCCATAATACATATCCACATTCATAACAACATATACCATATGAATCATCATCCAAACGGACTATGGTGGAACAACATACCGGAGAAAACTCCGAAATCAAAAGCTTACTTGAAACTAGCTTTTCTGTAAACCCTACTCGTACGTCACTAAAGTTATCCGTATATCCATAACCGTCAAGATCACCTATTCAAATATGATCTTTATTTCAATACATAATTACTTACACTTGAAGAATCCTCTTACATACTTACATATTATGAAATTATTCTTCAAGTTTGTTCACATAATCCTTAACATATTCTTACTTACCAATTCATGCCAATTCATACCAATTGACAAGTCAATACTCAAACCTAAACATATACTTAAAGTCTTACATATTAACATATTTAACCTAATTCACTTAACCTATAAGTTAAATTAGGTTCCCACACTTTACCATACATAACATACACTTGATTTTACTTGATTTATACAACCAAACACTTAATTAAATTAAAAACCATACCTAGATCATACAACCGCAAAGTGATCGAATGGTACTAGTAAGGTTCCCATGCATTTCATGCATTTCATTCTTCATCAAAGACTGCTCAAAACAACTCTTAACTTTATTTTTTATTATTAAGCTCAATGATCACATAAAGTCCCAATAACCTCTCTATGTTTTCAACTAATGAACCAACTAATTCATTCCATTCTAATACATTTATTTAGCACCAAGCATGTTATATATCTAAATATTTATTAAAATATATTGTATACAATGCACCTTAGTAATTTTATGGATAATTATAACTAAAAAGTTTTTTGTAACGGTAGTAGTTGAAGAAAGTTTTAATTTCAAATATATAGCATACTAAGAGCAGTTATTAAATACTAGTATTAAGATCATTTTTCCATCATTACTTATAGTTTTTCACTAGAAATGTTGTATTCAGTCATGACTCTTGGTAAGAAAATATTTATTTTATGGCATCCTTTAATAATGAATTTAGTAAATGTAGTAATTAAAATTTCACTTATATTAAAATTTTGTTTACATTTTCACTTGTATATTTGTGTACAAATATTATTTTATTAAAACAATTATAATTTGTATAAAATATGTTAAGAAAGTTTTAAATATTTATTTGTTAAAATATTTTTAATGTATTGAATATGATAAATTTTTTTATGAAATTATAATTTTGAATGGCACGGGGGCTGACCTTAACTCATAGGGTATTTGGCCCGTGCGGACCTTTATTATTGAGATTCATTTGATTTTGCGGATTTTTTGGCTCTAACCCACACAAATTAGGGCTTAATGGGTCGAATTGACCCATTTTGACAGTTGTACGGATGAAGATGTGATTTTTCTTTTAACAAAAGTGGTGATGGGTATAATAAGTGCTAAATACATTATTAATATAAAATAATTAATTGAAAGTTAATTGGTTAATCAAATAAAATGACTATAAATCATAAGCGCGGAGTGAATATCTTATATTCTAAGACAAAGCCATTCTTTGGCAACTTCTGACACGTGGCTGCTTCTCCTTCTGACACGTGTTTTCTTTCACACTACACAGTTCAAAAAGTTTCCTTTTTTGATAATTCAGGAAATAAAAGAATTCAAAAAGAAATTATAATCTGGACTAAAAATTGATGGCCACGATTTGCTATCCAAAAGCAATGGTTTAGATCTGTTCTCATCTTTAATTGTGGAAGGAAAGAGAAAAATTTAAATTTTGAAAACTGACAACTCAGTAAATGTTCACCTGCTTTGTTCATTGAAATTGTTAAACATTTAACAAAACCCTAAACGCCTTCTCATCTTCTTTCTCCTGTTCTTCGGTGTTCTATTTTTTTCCCAACTGCTGTTCGTCGTTCTTTTTGTTGTTTGTCGTTCGTCGCTCGCCTTCTCATACCGTTTTTGGTTTTGTTGCTACTTTTCATCTTCGTTTTTTCCCAGCTGCTGTTCGTCGTTTTTTTGTTGTGAGTCGTTCGTCGTTCTCCTTCTCATAAAGATTTGGTTTTGTTGCTGCTTTTCGTCTTTGTTTTTTCCCAGCTGTTGTTCATCGTTTTTTTGTTGTTCTCCGTTCGCCTTTTCATACTATTTTTTATTTTGTTGCTGCAGTTGTCATTCTTTTAAGTAGGTTACTACCAGTTACAACACACAGCTTCAAAGGATGTATAAATATGATTTTCTGAAGGATGTCAGTCCTGTCAAGGAGGACTGGAGGATTAAGGTGAAGGTGGTTCGGGCTTGGAAAGTTCCTAACTTTCAACGTAAAGATCAAGACGACAACGTTGGAATGGTTTTGTTGGATGAACAAGTATATTCTTAGCGTTTTTAAAATCTTGGTTCTTGCGTTTTTAAATCTTCCACTTTTTTGAGTTCGTTGTGTTTTTTTTTAGGGTGGTAGGATCCACGCCACTGTCAAAGGTTCTTTGCCGGTGCGGAAGAAAATCCATGAAGGAGACTGCTATTTTATCAAAAAAATTGGAGTTGGATTCAATAGCGAAGTGTTCAGGCCTACCAGGCATCAGTATCGTTTGTCTTTCAATTTGAGGACTGATCTTAGATCAATTGTTGATTCTAATATTTGTGCGAGTGAATTTGATTTTGTTAATTATGACATCATTGAGAAAGAAACATCTGACTCACCTTATTTAGTGGGTAATATAATTGTGCTTACTGTCTTTTCATTTTTAAATTTTTTAAATTTTTTTACGGACTCTTTGCTGCCCTTTATTTCTTTGTAGACGTCATTGGTTTAATATCAGGAATTGGTGAAGTTTGTGAACGTGTGGTTTCTTGTAGGAAGACCAAAATGGTTGTGTTGGAGCTTGACAACCTCAGGTATTGTAAATTTTATTTTTTCAACGTATTCTTTTGTTTTATCTGTGTTCCCTTGTATTTTTTTGTTTTATCCGTGAACGTGTATTACTGTACGTTTGGGCTGCAACTCATATGAAGGGGTCACAAGCTGGAGTGCACTTTGTGGGAGCACTATGTGGATGAGATTCAATCTTTTATGGCAACCAACGACACTCTTCATCACGTCGTGATAGTCCAGCTAGGCAGGATAAAATGTTTTAGGGGTATGATTTTAGCAATCTTTTTTTCCAATACGTTATTCCTCTGTGTTCTGTTTAATTCTATTTTTTTTGGGATTGCTATTCTATGTTTTTATTTTTATGCTCAACTCGATAGGTAAGGTTGGGTTAACCAATACAAAATATACAACGAGGATTGTCATGGATTCGAAGATCCCAGAGATCGTTGAGTTCAAAAAATGGTTTGTTTGTTATTCTTAAACTCATTTCATAATTTATTTAGTTAATCATTTACTATATATCCATTTTCTCTCTATAGTCTCACGTCTGATGGTGTTGAGAGTAGTTTGCGGATGACTCAGTTGTCTACTCAGTCATCCTATTCTTACGAAAATGATTTTCTGAAGGAGACTGAAAAGAAGTCTATCAGTGATGTGAAGCTTTGTGGCGAGGTAAATATAGAATTTTTGATTCTTCAAATTTATTGAATTTCTTGGATAATATCAAGTCTGTGTGAATTATTTTAATTGTTTGCCTACCCTTGCTATATTTAAGGTTACAACTTGCATCACGTATGGGACTATAAAATCTGTTGAGAGCAAATACAACTGGTGGTACAAGTCTTGCAAAAAATGTCCATTCTCTGTTTTAGAGGATTTTGAAAAGTGGTACTGTAAGAACTGCGAAAAACATTAGGAAGATTACTATCCGAGGTATTGTTTTTGCGTAGTTTTTAAATTGTGTTTAATCTGTAAGCTGAATTTTTTATTTTTTTACTGATGTACAATTTTGCAATCGCATAGATTTAGTGTTCAGGTAAGAGTCGTGGATAACACGGATTCCACATCATTTCTTCTGTTTGATCGCGACTGTGTGTCTTTGCTGAGGATGAGTGCTGCTGAACTGCGCGAGCTGCATTTCAAAAGGGTTTGTATTATTTTTGCTATAAAATATAAATAATGTATATCTTGACGTAGAGGATGTAATGTAAATCCTATCAATGGGCTTCTTGTTGTATATTGGATGACCGTATTTTTTTTTCTAGGGTGCGAATTTGGATCAATTTCTAGATGAGTTAAATGTTTTGAATGAGAAGTCCATGCTGTTCAAGCTAAATATCAAACAAAAGGATTTGAACTCATACAGCGAGCCCACGTATCAAGTTTCTAAAATTTGTAGCAACGAAAAGATAATCTCATCGTTCCTTGAGTCTCTTAACTCTGACGTCAATCCAGATGTATGCTGTTTCTCTATTTTTGTTGGGTATCGTTTTTTACAAATTCATTTCGTTGACTGTTTTTGGTTATTGTATATCACAGGATGAAGCAAATTTTGAGGATGCACGCGAAAATGAAGGTGGATCATCAGGACCGGAAAAGGTTGCGGTAACGCAATATTTTTTTAAACATTTTCATGTTACGCGTAAGTCCATACTTGACATACCTTTGTTTTCTTTTTTTTACCGAATTATTAATAGGATGTTGAGAGTCAGACCTGTGATAGTACTGACGTTGGTGATATCTCTCTCACAATGTTGACACCATTGATCCATTCTCATGATTCCATTGCTGGAGAATTCAATCTTTCAGCTGTTCGGATAGCCAAGAAGATAAAGCTTGAAAAAGAGTTACGTATTTTCAAATCTATTCTCATGATTTCTGTCCTTTTTTTTTTTTTCCTTTTCTCAATGCTGAATACTGTTTTTCTGTTTTCCTTTTATTAAAATATAAGTATGTCATATATGTTTTTTTTCCTTTTTACAATGCTAATTTTTTTTTTTGCCACAAACCATACTTTGAGACTATGACTTATGTATACTTTGTTTTTTTTCCTTTTCGTAATATCATGTGCTGATCGGATTCATTGCTAGAGCTCTTTCCGTCGTATGCTTATATATCATTTTCAATGCTGAATATTGTTTTTCTGTTTTCCTTTTATATAAAATACAAGTCTGTCACATATGTTTTTTTTTTCCTTTTTACAATGAATTTTTTTTTTTTGCCAGCAACCATACTTCAAGACTATGACTTATGTATTCTTTTTTTTTTCCTTTTCGTAATATCATGTGCTGATCTGATTCCATTGCTACATCTCTTTACGTCGTATGCTTATATATCATTCTCAATGCTGATTACTGTTTTTTTTTTCTTTTTTGAAAATAGATTTAATGCAGAAGCATATGATAATACCCCGTAGATCAGCACACTGTGTCTTAAGAGTGGTTTTTTTGTGTCTTGCAGACAAGATCTTTACTGAAGTGTGGTTTTTTTGTTGGAGTTAAAAAAGACACACCACACTGTGTCTTGGAGACAGTTCACGTAGTTTTCTTATGTTTTGTTGTGTTTAGTTCAAAACAATACTTGCACCCGCAATCGAACGTATGTTGTTATATTTGTTGTGTTTTTTGCAATACCAACTTAAGTTCTTCATCTATGTCGTGTTATGTTATCTGTTGCTGTGTTCCCTTTTTCTTAATCAAAACATGTCTTTTTGATCCAACAACAAACAAAGGTCGACTGCTAAAATTTGTTTCCTGTTTTAATGGAACAAAATAGGTACTTTTATTTCAAATTTATGTTTCTTATTTTTAATATTTACAACTTCAAAAATTGATTGAACTTTTTTATCACTGGAATTCAAAGTATGTCTTTTATATCAAAAAAAAACAATTTTTAACTTTTACTTTTGAATTTTTGTTACCTACTTAAAAAATTTATAGTTTTTAAACTTTTTTAGGGTTTGATCAGCCTTGAATACTGAGTATGTGTTTTTTTATCCAAAACGAATAAAAAAAACATTCATTTGTTTCGTAATAAGAAAGTATGTTATGAAACGATAATCATGACCAGAAAATAAGTTCTTCTTATTCAATCTTTTGTTTCCTGATTTTAGAAATTTAAACTTGAAATTTTATTAAGCTTTGATTACTGGAATTCAACATTTGTTTTTTTTTAATTCGAATAAAAAAAAATTACGTCTGTAACTGCTAAACACATTTTATGATACAAATTTCAAGTTTCGTTATTTATTCACCTTGACCTTTGGAATACTGAGTATGTCTTTTTTTATCCTAAAAAAGACAAATAAAAAATCGTGTATTTGCTAATAAATTAATTAATAACATGTTATGGTACAGTAATCATGACCAGAAAATAAGTTCCAAAAAAAATCAATCTTATGCTTCCTAATTTTTATTATGCTTTGATAATTAGCATTCAAAGTATGTCTTTTTTTATCTGATTTTTTCTTTGCTATTTTTAATGTGACGAAATAAATAACTTTAATTCAAATTTAATGTTTCTTATTTTATAAATTTCAAGTTTCAAATTTTATTAACCTTTGATCATTGGAATTCAAAGTCTGTCTTTTTTTATCCAAAATAAAAAATAAATAACGTCTATGATAGAATAATCATAATAACAAAATAAAATATTTCAATTCAAATCTTTTTTTCTATTTTTAAAATTTCAAGTTCGAATTTTGAGTAAGCTTTTATCATTGGAATTCAAAAAGACAATAAGTTTAAATTTATTTAAAGTTCTTATTTTTTATCCAAGAAAATACGTGTATAACAACTAAAAAAGTGTGTTTTTTTAAAAAAAAAATTTAAACTTGAATTATTTTTTATCCTTAATTCAAGCCAGAAGTTATAAAACATAAGTTATTATCCCTAACAGGTTATATCTTTTTGTTCCTTTTTTTCCCTTCTACGTTGTTTCTTTTTGAAAATAAAATTGGAATTTGGAACGACGGTCTTGAAACTATCTTCATCTCTCATCGAAACGCTGCCATAGTTTTGGAAATCGATGGGTATGATTAAAGGTTTAATGATTTTCCAGGAAATACGACGCTCCATATTCCATACTACCAGTTCACGTGTTCAGCCAATCAGTTGGAGAACATTAATGTCGTCGCGTCCTTCGAAGATGACCAGCCGAAACGTCGCCCTTAATCGTTTGGCTGTGTATCTCTTCAGCCTCATTATACATGACAGAGTCGTTTGGTTTTTTGTCATCGTCTCATGTATCTGCTTCTTTCTTCCAAAATTGTTCATCCTCATATTTTACCACGCCTCCTTCATCGTCAAAGAAAAAAATGAAAATGGAGATCACCGGTGGAGAGTCCCTGAAACATCTGCCGTCGGATGTGTTGCTGCTGATATTTGGAAAGGTGGCGTCTCATTCAATTGAGGACATAACTAACGTGAAGCTTTCTTGCTGGGAATTTTATTATCTAACCGAATCAGATTATGTGTACGAGCGTGTTTCGCTGGATAAGTTCGCGTTGGGACCATTGGAGTGGGTCACAAATGCCAAGCCTTTCCTTCACCAAGTTAGGGTCAATGGAAGTGAGGAAGAAGAAGGTGAGGCGTACTACAACCCAGATCAAGTTTACAAAAGGTTTCGACAAGTTGTGTTTTTGAAGCGTTGTAGGGACACTGGCAATCCAGAGGTGTTGAGTCGTGAGGGCTTGGTCAATTACTTTTGAGAGACATCGACTGCTGATGTGCAAGCTTTAGCTCTTCATGCCATTAAGACTGCAGCAGAGAAAGGTCACCACGATGCCAAGTAAGCATCTTCCATCATATTGATGGCCAGTGTTGATGAAAGGGAGAGGTCTGTGGGCTTTGAATTTTTTCGTTCGCTGGATGACAAGTGCCTTTTGAGGCCATGCAGACAACGTGTCATACTTTTCATCAGGTCGTTATGGGTGCGCGATTCACTGAGGATGACCCTTCGTCGTCAGAGAACCATGAGATTGGTAACATGCTTGGGTATAGGGTCTGTCAACGTTGCAAGGCGAATTTTGAAGTCTACTTATTTTGCATTATGACTTTAATGTGATTGAGTTTCTGGTGGTGTTGGTTTAGGGTGTTTTTTTATCTGTTTTGTTATTTTATGTGTTGTATTTTCTTTTTGGTATCTTTGAAGTTCTGTTATTATGTTATCTGAATTTTTTAAGGAATGAATGTTCACTATTTTTTTCTTTTGGTATCTAGCGAACGAATGTGCAACTTGTGCTTATGTTATTATTAATAGGATGTTTTGTTATTTTATGTGTTGTACTTTTTTTAGAAATGAATGTGCAATTGTGCAAATACCTGGACTTTTTAAGGAATGAATGTTTACTGTTTTTTTCTTTTGGTATCCAGCGAATGACTTTAAAGACACTTTCTAATTTTTTTGGGTACATGCATATATAAAATGGATAAACGTATGACTATTTCAAACGTAAATAAATGTATGACTATAAAATGGTTCGGGTCTGTACCAAGCAGCAAACTCATAGCTACGTGGATAAAGAATTTTCTACTATAGCTACTGTCTTTTTCTTCTTTTCTTTTCTTTTCACGATAAAGGGTATTATTATAAAGTCAGTTTTTATGTTTTTTTTGTTTTACCAAATATCCTTAATTAAGTGTTGAACCAAGAGTTAAATTCAAGTACTTAAGGTCTTACACTTTTTCTTTTGTTATCTTATGAACTGGGAGTGTGACCAATTACTGTAGTATGTAGGATATGGTGGAATGACCCAGGCTGCTGAATCCCCCACTATGAATTGCGTAGCATAACAGTGACAAATGAATGTGCAAAACAATATTGCTGAAAATGAAAGAACAAAATCGTTTTGATGCTTCAACATGTTGAGCTTTTGAGCGAAATGAGAGATGGTACCAAGTAAAATTTATAAGAGAGAGATAGTTTTAAAATGTAGGTATGAGAATTAAACCATTCTAGATGTAACCGTATATTTCAGATGAGAGTTTAAAAACATTTATTTGTTGATTCTGATGTTATACAGATCCATACCATCTTTTTTATAGTATTTGATTAAAAGAAAGACAATAATAGATTGATTAATTTTGAATCTGGTGCATGTGCTAATTAAGTTTTAATCTGTTTTTTTCAAATTTGCATGGACGCATTAATTGGTTCAACAAAGTTCAGTAGATGTTTTAGTTTTTGTACATAATTAATCCAAGTTACAACAGACCAGTGAATGCCAAAGGTCATGCATCAATAAACTTCCCTCTCATGCAGTCAGCATTCCCAAGTGGGGAGTACATTATTGCCCATCGATTTTGACACCCAAAAAAGTTAAAAAAGCGCCAACAAATCAGCTTTCACAACAGTTTTAAAATATACATTTGACACGGAAAAAAAAGGAGAGAAGAAACGTTTCCCGCTAAGATGAACTTTACCTCATAACATTGTCTCTTCATATTCCAAGTCCCTTCACTCATCTTAACTGTGTTTTCAGCATTCTCTTCTTGCAGCAGTTTCTGAGTTGATCGAGTTAATCAGGCAACACCTTGCCTTTGTTTTAAGCATCTTCTTCTTCCAGCAGTGAGCCACTTGAGCGAGTTAATCAAGCAATAGTTTTTTTTATTTTCAGCATCCTCTTCTTGCAGTAGTGAGCGAGTTAATCAGGCAACAGCTTTACTGTGTTTTCAACATCCTCTTCTTGCAGCAGTGATCGAGTTGAGCGAGTTAATCAAGCAACAACAATCGTACTAAAAACGTTGTGAAAAATCTCATACGGAGGTATATACCGTTTCAATACCGTCATGTCTGACAACGAAAATGAATTCAAAACTCCTTCCAGGAAAAGAAGGAACCAAGGTCGCATTGAATCAAATCAGCTGAATGGTAACGATGATTGATGTTCTTGCATTTGTTTGACAGTTATTTCTCATTGTACTAACTAATTCATTCAAATGATTGCTGTGTAGAAAATCTTTTTGGGTCTTCTCTCTCCCCTGTTGGCAGGTAATTGTAATTCGTCATAAATATTACTTGTCGTTAATGAAATTTGTGTATTAATGTCAACACCTTTTAGTTAATTTTTATATTGTTCCTTTTTTAAATCCGCACAACATTTCTGAGGTAGGCAGCATGAGGAATGATATAAGCTGCAACAAACAATGGCCACGTAATATTACAAATGGTATGTTTCGTTGTTCTTTTCGTCAGCAAGTTTCTTGAACGTTGTTTCTTAGCGTAAAGAAGCAATCTTCCATAAACTTCCATTAGTTGTGTTCTTATATAATGGACTTTCTAATTTTATTTATTTTTTGTAGAAAATGTTCCTCCATTAACGGCGTCCCCAATTAGCAGGTCAGTTAATTACTTAGGTTAACTCTTTTACTAATTATTAGTGAGTATTATTCCTTTTTTTACACGTACAGCGTTGCTCAGATCACCAGTATGAGCTCGCAGTTTGAACGTAATATAGAGCCTCTCCATGGCATAACT